AATGGCTGACCCTGCGCTCTGACCCCAAGCTTCTCTCTATCTGTGTGTCTCATGGAGAGCAAGCTAGGGCATGCGAAAAAGAAATTCCTAATGCAAGAAATTGTCTTCCGCACCTGCGAATAAGAATTAGGCAAACATTTGGAAAACGGATTTCTCGGTTGCCGTCTTACACAAGAAATCTGAAATTAAATATAGACCTCTCTAAAGTGTCTTTTCGGGGAAACAACACTCACGCAGCTTAAACGATACACGGCCCCTTTAACAAAGGAGAGACGCAGACGCGTTTTTACACAGCCGGTTCATGAGCCAAGGCGGTCAGACTGAGGAACTGCTAAGCCAAATAACGTAGATCTGCTGCAAGAGAGGTTGGACGAAACGATCATAAAGTTAAGCAAGCTGAATTTCCTGAAAGCGGTTCCTGTTAACGATCCTCGGGTACAACTACCCCCTCGGCTGGTATCACGGATGACGCCGACGTCGTGGCGTGAGCCTACACACCACGTCCCACCGTAGTGTGTTCATCACGGCTGGAGATTAACGTTCAGGATCCGCCTGCTTTTAAGCGTCCAAAATGGACTATTCGTGCTAAATAACCTCAGATCGGTCAATCAGACGTTTCACGGCGAACTCGTGGACTCCCGGCTTTCCAAGATACCAAACCGCTTCCCAAATCTGGCCCCAACCAACCACCTGCTACGATGCAGTGGGACAAATTAAAACTCATGGACTTTTTGTTGTTGTTGTTGTTGTTGTTGTTGTTGTTCCATGCGTGTTCACACAGCATATTAATCACAAGTGCGTCCCAAAATGACAGCAACTCAGTAGCAATGGGGGGAGAAACTGCGAAAACGAAATGACGATAAAACACCAGGGAACGTGCGGCAAACAGGAAATTTCGCATGAGCTTCAGGCAGGGTTCGTGCCGCAGCGACAGTCGCTCTAAACGAGCCCACTCGCAGAGAAAGCACGGCCCAGGAGAGCTACCGGGCTCCGTGTGCCTTGACAGCCCCTGACTGACCCGGCTGGAGCCGGTGCTGAACCTCACCTTGTCGAACCGCAGCCATTGCTTGATCGCGGCGTCCAGCTCCGCGTCGCCCGTGCTGGAGAAGTCCTGGTCCATGTCGCCGCGGCTTCTTCTGCGGGGAAGCAGGCTCGCCTTCGTGGGGCTTTCCTCTCGTCTTCTACAGAGATGCACGTCGGACTCCTCCTATGCCAACCAGCCAGCCCTGCCTCCGGAGTCCTGTTTTCTTGCGCAATGAATGAACTTTGACGTAAAGAGCGCCGGGCACGGCTGTAGTGAGCTTAGTGAGTTACAGCAAGCCCCTCCCCTCACCCCCAAAAGAAAACTCAGGAGAAACCGCGTTTGCTGTATTTTACCCCTTCCTGGAGGGTAGTTAACGACAAGCCCAGGGACACACGCTAACGAAAGGTTTTTACAAATGCATGCCTATCCGTGCTTGTGAGTCAGGGCCAACACCGCCGGCCTGCTGGTTGGGAAGACAGGAACAGCCAATCAGTGGTTAGATGAAGATCAGGGACGAGATATTCATTCACAGTTTAAAGCAACGTGCGGTTTGTAAGAGAGACGAGCAAGAGGCGTGGTTATAATAGCGTGACTTTGCTGCAGTGCAATACTTCATGAGCTGCCCTCAGGATTTAGCAGTTTGCAATGTATTATTATTATTATTTTTATTATTGACCACATGTCTGTGGCCACCCAAACTTCTGAGTGTCCCGTGAGTTTAATTTCCAGTGCACTAAAACTGGAATTGTACTGCAACACAGCACTATTCCCGTTAATGAGAAACCGTAATCCTGGGATCATGGTGGGCATTGGCGTACGCTGGTGGAGTCTGTGTGAGGCAAAATGAATATAACTACAATAAAAAGCCCTTGTGCCCTAAGACTGCTTTTAATCACGCACTTAATACAACGCCTTGCAAAAAAAAAAAACAAGATTGGCCCAATTTCAAAGTTCCCATTTTGTTCAAATGAAACTGTAGCGCGACAGGTTCGGCGAGGATGGAGACAAGAATTCAGGTTCTTTCAGCATGAACAGTCGGCGCTTTATTCGTCGGACGGGAGTCCGGCTCGGCAGTAACTACCTAAGAAATGAGACTCGGTAAAACTGGCTACAACACACAAGGGTCATTTCGGGTACAGGTAGGTGTTATAGGGTGGTAAGTGGGCACAGGTATTAAAGGGGTGCAAAACTGGGGGATAACTAACAGTATCGGGGCAACCTCACACCGTCCACAGCCTTGGCTGCCTTTCCCGTCCTGCCCCTCGCTGGACGCTCTTCAGCCTCAACGCCATGCGAGGGCGCCACAATATACTGTATACACTTGTTTAATAAGAAAAGTCCCGACTTGGACTTGCAATACCCAAGCTGAACACTTATTAATGAGTCAAATAAGAAAAACTGTGGTTGACATTGAAAAAGCCTACAGTTTATCTACAGCTTAGGTAGCCTAAAGCCTACCTGCTGTATGAAAATCATTTAGGTGTCCACATTGAGAGATCATTTGCACCTTAAACAATATAAATACATAAACAGTATGGGGAAATAAAAAATCAAATACTAAACATTATGTGATGTTCAAAAAGTTAAACATTTTGTAGACATTTTTGACATTGCAAGGAATGTTATGTAAAAATTGTACAATCCTCTAGTAAGATCTCATTTAGAATATTGATCACATGTCTTTGGCCATCCAGGCATCTGAACGTCCTGTGAGTTTAATTTCCTGCAGACTAAAACTGGAACTGTACTGTAACACAGTACTGCTCCCGTTAATGAGAAACTGTCATCCATGTTACAGTTGAGCTATGGCTGAATCAGATCAGCAACCACACTGTTCCAGGCCTTAAGGGAATGTCCTACAGGACAAAAGAACTACAGTAGATCTTTTTAATCCTGAGCCGAGAAGATGATGAATCAAGGATCAAAATTCCCATCTAAAATACTGAAAGACATTGACAAAATCGTCCCAGTGGAGTTCTCCAGCATCAAAAAGAGGACACTGTGGAAACTGCGTAACACAAAAATACAAGAAACGTATTTTCTCACAGGGTTGTGGCAGTGTGGAATAAGCCATTCAGCCATGCTGCTGCAGCCTAAACCCTGAATTCTGATCTACCAATTACTACAGAACAGATGGGCTGAATGGGCTGAATGGATTTTTCTCATTTTTAACCATTCTTATTTTATTTCTGTAATTCAGACTTACTGGTTCTGATCGGCTGTACTAGATTTTTATCCAAATGGTCTGGCAAGGTGGGCAGTTTGTATCAGTTTGTATTGGCTCAAAGATGGCTGGAAGTGCTGTTCCAGGGTATTTATTGCTCAAGTAGCACGTCAGTAGGATGCTCAACGTATCCAAGAGATTGAGAAATAAAGTATTTTGTGTAGCAGTCTCTTTCGAGTCACGTTTTGTTGTTTGCTAGCAGCCATCCCACTGGAGCCCAGCAGGTGTGAGCCTGATCAGTACCTGGATGGGAGACCTCCTGGGAAAAACTAAGGTTACTGCTGGAAGAGGTGGTAGTGGGGCCAATAAGGAAGGAGTGCTCACCCTGTGGTCTATATGGGTCTTAATACCCCAGTATAGTGACGGGGACACAATATAGAATAACACCACAGGTGCCATCCTTTGGATGAGATGTTAAACTGAGCTCCTGACTCTCTGTGGTCTTTATCACTCATGGCTTCCTAATAATCCCCAGAGCTTCATCGCTCTGCTCTCCTCCCCACTGTGAGCTGATGTGTGGTGAGCGTTCTGGCGCACTATGGCTGCTGTTGCATTATCTGGGTGGGGCTGCACATTGGTGGAGGGGAGGTCCCCATTACCTGTAAAGCGCTTTGAGTGGAGTGTCCAGAAAAGTGCTATACAAGTGTAAGAAAATATTGTGATTTGTGCTCTTTCAGACGCTAGACTCCTCTGCCCCCTAGTGGTAGTTTCTGGTAAGAACAAATACAGGGAATGACCAGTTAATGACTTGTGTAGTTCTTTGCACAGCAGTGTATGTGTACGTCACGTCATTCGGGGGATTGTGTTCTGCGCTGTGTAAACTATAAAATATTGTAATTTAAATAGCACCATTTTAAGATGGATTAAATTAGTAATATATCACATTTTTGTTATTATTACCCTTATGAGCCACATTCAGTATACCATGCAGGTACTGTAAATGTCAAGGAAAGTAGAGCTGATCAGTGTGATTGTTCACAAGGCATTCATTTCAGTGTGACAGCCATGGGATGCATAGGAGAGCAAATAAGCTTGTATACAGCTGCCAAAAGCAAGGTCTTTATTATAATTACATTATACATAAACATTAATAATCTAGAAATAAAAGCAGAAAATTAAAATTGGCGGTGAATAAATAAAACCCCCAAATTAGATTCTCTAGGAATAAAATACCCAGGACCTAAGCAAATTGAGAGGTCTGAGTGCTTTAGTCTCAATCAAATTGGCTTAACCCCCTTGGCTGAGGGCTAACTCTTGGCCAGAGGACGAGTGACCCAGCGGTAGCCACAGAGGTGGAGGTGGGGTGGAGAAGGGGGAAAATGTACAGTATGTATGATGTTTTAGGTGAGGAAAATGATGATCTTTAGTGAGCTTTGATTTTTGCTCAGTGGCTCGGTCTGCTACTGTGAAAATACTACCCAGGGAGTAAAATGAAGGTACTCATTAGCATCAAAGATCAGGATTGATGACAAATTATGAACTATAATTATTGTATGCGTATATAATATTTTAATTGCCTTTGTTACGACTGCTGCCCCGCGATTGCCCAGGGAAACCAGAGTAAGCCTTGTCCTGAACATTGGCGCCTCTCTTTCTCAATTCAATTCAAGGTGCTTAATCAGACCGGGGGGTACAATCGGTGTTGCCAAAGCAAATACAAATAATGAAGTTCACATGAAACGAAAACAAAAAATAAAAGTAAAATTAAATCTACAGACATATTACAGACATATCTTAAAATATTGACATATACTGTAGACAGATGGAACATTATTGGGAGACAGACTCACTGTTCCTCAGAGTTTCTCTCTCTCACTATTACATTACTGCTCAAGCGACCCCTCCAGACCTCAGCAACAACCTCTGGGCTTTGGAGTTAAAACGGTCACAAACCTTATCTAAAATCTGAAAGAGACACTTCTCAGTCACCTAAAACTGTCACGATATCAAACATACCTTCAAGGATGAGAGAAAGACTAATTCACAGTAACTCAAATCTGGATTTATAAATAACCTACACAAATTAGTCTCCTGAATCTAATTCTTATAAAAATCTAAAGACAGAACAGTCATGAAATCATTAAAACACATCAAGATGTCAATATAACATTGACAGTAGGCCAGCGACATCTTTTCAGGTGCTGCAGTACTCATTCAGGCAGGGTAGAAAG